AGGCACCAGGCTAGAAACCAGGAGACAGTGAGTTCTAGTCCCACCTTAGGCACAAAGCCAGCGGGTGACCTTGGGCCAGTCCCAATCTCTCAGCCCTAGGAAGCAGGCAAGGGCAAACCACTTCTGAAATCTTGCCACAAAAACTGCAGGGACTAGTCCAGGCAGTTGCCAGGAGTCAATATTGACTCAAAGACACAATAGAGAGAGAGAGAGAGAGAGGGAGAGAGAGAGAGAAATTGATAAATATATATCAACCAATCAACCACACTGGTACTTCCTTTCCCAATAACATGATAGGAAACTCATGGCTTTGCTCACCATCCTTGGGGTCTCCAGAACGGTTCTGTTAATTTGGTCTCCAAAGAGAGAGCTACAGTTCAGCAAGTTTGCTCCTCCTCCCTCCCCGCCAGATTTCCTCTCTCTACAAAGGTAGGCCAATTCATTTCCTCCCTCTTTTGCCATCTGAAGAGGAATCCCTCCACCCCAACAACTTCAGAGTCAAAGATGTCCCATCCACACCACTAGATATAAGCCAGCTGCAGCTAGAGGATAATTGTAATATTGGTTGATGTGCCAATACTTGTAGGGGGTATACTCTTTCTCCAACCCCTCCGCCTGTGAACCCAACCTACAATAAACCTTGTGTGAATAAGACAGGCTAGTGTAACACAAAGTGCCTTTGAAAGTCAAGCCAAGATGCAGGGTCTGCAGGGAAACCTCTGGGCGTTCTGTAGAACACAGTATGGTTTTCTATCTCATTTATCTTCCATGAGTTGAAGTCCACACATTTTAAAGTTGCCAAATTTGAAAAATATTGATCTAAACGATACCACAGCTTTTTCAAATCATCTTTTCAGCCTCTGTGTCCCTATCCATAAAAGAGGAATCAGGATGCCTTCTGCCAAGCTCTTATGCCAATCCACAGGCCTATTTGAGGAGGGCAGAGTTTTAGAATTCCTGATTTCTAGCAAACAGAGAGCGGATTTGCCCTCTGGAACACCAATCCGCCCCCCTCAAGATTTGTATGGACACCACCTTGGCCCTATTTAAATGAGCCCTTAAAATCTGGTTCTATGCCCAGGCCCTGGGTTAGAGTGAGCGATGCACCCTTCATGTGATGTTCTGATCTTTTAAACAATAATTGATTTTCTTCAAACTCTCCTGTTTTGATTATGCATTCTGTCTTTTCACTGTGCTCCTATTGTATTTCGTAAGCCACTCAGAGTCATGGCAGATTGGGGTGGAAATGAACCTACACGGCTCATAAACAACCCAATACACAAATGAAGGCCAGCATTATGGGATGCAGAATGGGTGCTCCTTCCCCCAAACATGGAAACATAAACAGGAAATACGGGAAGCAGAAAATTCCCTTGCTTTTTTTAATTTCCCCTCTGGCATGTGGTTTCAGTTAGTGCCTTAGAATTCTAGTAAAAAGAATTCTAGTAAATTCTAGTCAAGCGGAATTCCCAAATCAACCCAACCTTGCTTTCCTTGATTAAATAAAATGCTAAATCTTAAGCTGCTGATTTAAGCTTTCCAAGCCCTAAAGCGCCTGGGACACAAGTATTAGGGCTGCGTAGTGCTTCAGTGGCAAAAGGTACTTTGGCACACACTGAGGAACAGTTGTAGCACCTGTCTGCAACACTTTAAACCAGCTGTGCCTTTTCTCAGGGTCTCACGTAGTTGCCCCAAATAGAATAACCTTGCTTGCTGCATTTTAAAGGCATGTCCTTCAGTGATCTGAAGAGGGCCCCCTCTGGGCAGATAAGATCAGAGTCCAACATTACTTTAACTGCATGCCTAGATATGGGCCTCTCTGCTGGCTGAGATTGAATTTGGAAGGCCTTCTGCAGGTGCTCTCAACCTGAAGTTTATAATTAGAAGAATACAGACAGTCCCCTACGTACGAACAGGCTACGTTCGAGAGGCTGTTCGTAAGTCTGTATTGTTCGTAACTCCAACCAAGTAAAAAGTACTGCAAAAAGTAAAAAAAGAGGAGGAGGCAGGGCAGCGGTGTGGGCAGAAGAGCCCTGTCTTCTGCTGCCAATGTGAGGAGCGATAGCATGCAGACTGTGGAAAGCGCAGTGGGATGAGCTGGTGGGGCGCAGCGCGCTCTGGTGCCAGGCGAGGCAGCGGTGGGTCCCTGGGTGAAGGGGGCAGCTGCACCGGAGCCATCGCTGCCTCTCCTGCCTCACCCGGTAAACTAACCCTTTCCAGGAACTCCAACTCCAGCACAAACCTCTAACCTCCAGGAAGGTAGGAGAAAGTGGGAAAGGGTTAGTTCGCAGCGTGCTGGAAACTAACCCTTTCTTGCCTTCTCCCGACTTCCAGGTCCATCTTGTTCATATCGGCAAAAGTCTGCAACTCAAAAATTCGTAAGTAGAGGACTGTCTAGACTGGTTTACAATCCAAGAAACTTGATAACAGTAAAAAAATCAGGAGAAGTCTGGTAGCATCTTTTCAGACTAACACATTTTATTAAAAGGCATACACTTTCATGCATAAGCTGTAGCTTGTGAAAACTATGTTATTTAATAAAATGTGTTAGTTGGAAAAGGTGTCCTCAGATTCCTCCTAATTTTTTGGCCACCATAGACTGTCACATCTCTCCCCCTACAATGTAGATAACAGTTAGGAGTGGGGGAAGAAGGATCACCAGAACAGAGTGGACCTTGCCGTTGTATGTCTGCATGAAACACAGCCAACTAAGATAGTGTGAACTTCAACTCCCAGAATTCCACAGCTGGGGATTTCTGGGAGTTGAAGTCCACACACCTTCAATTGGCCAAGGGTGAGAAACACTGCTCTAAACCATAAACCATGATTTACAAGCCCCAACCATTAGGTTCACACATCACCCTAACCCAAAAACCATACTTTGCTTAGTGCAATGTGAACCCAGCCAACATCCCCTTCCTGTAATGCTGCATCTCCACTCCTGAGATCAACCAACTGGATCCTCCATGTCAACAACAATGGGTCAGTCTAGGATTTCCACAGAGCTTCCCCATTATAGTCAAGGACTCATCTTCCAGGGGCACTCACCTCGGTGGTGGGCAAGCCAAGTTGGGCCTGAAAGGTGGGCATCCTATACAGTGTATTGCCTGGCTGCTGGTGCGTGCATGGCGGATGGTAACTCCTCCCCCTGTCCATGGCGAGGGGCAAAGTGGGCATCAGGCTTTGTGTTGCTTCATGGAGGAATCAGAAGCCAGCAGGTCTGTGGAGGGGCAGAGAGAGCCTTTATCTAGGCCCTTCCCTCTGCAACATGCCCTGAGGAAAAGAAAGGGGAGAAAAAGGTTAGGAACACAGCAAACTACATCGTATGAAATCAGATCAATCGTCCATCTTTTTATTTATTTATTTACAGTCAACAACCAGCAAAGTAGTTTCAACAAACACTAAATAAAACAACCACTAAAAGCAGGCCTCAGATGCAATAAAAGCAATAAAACCCTGAGGACTACCAGTTAAGAAGTACAGGTCTAGAAAGCAAGCAAAAGAAAACAGAGGAAGAGAAAGTAAATAACAATAAATTTAAAATAAAAAGGATGAAAGAACTTCCTGGTTACATCATTCCAAGATTAGGACATCTTAAGCTTCCTTATGGCAAGAGCTGCCTACAAGAAACTTGGCAACTCGGTTCGTGACAAGGGGGTCCCGGTCCGAGAGTAGGAACTCAACCCCCTCCTCATAGAAGCTTGATCTCGACAACAATGAGGCAGTAGAGGTACATCAGTGCATGAGTTCTCGTAAAAGGAACGGTGCAGGAATATGCGGGTGAAGGTCTCAGGTTCAGTCTGGCCACAGGGACAATTTCTCTCTTGAAATGGGATTTGGTGAAGCCTCCCACCCAGCACTATGGAGGGAAGAACATTGAAATGGGCCAGAAAGAAGGCTCGACCATCTAGCTCAATCTTCCCCAACCTGCTGCATTCAGGATGGACAGGGGCTACCGTTCCCAGAAACCCTTACTAGAAGGCTGCTCTGGCTCCAGTGATCAGGCCTGGTTTCCCCAGACCGGGCAGAAAGAAAAGTGGGGAGACCATGGCTGTGGCACCGAGGGCAGACTCCTTCAGGAGAGGGGAGATTACAGGAGCAATGGAAAAGTTAGCAAGAAAGAGGGGAAATGAAGAAGATTGTTACCTGCCCTTCCCCTTCTGCTCCATCCAAAATTCAGGGAGGGGAAGGCAGGTTCAGAGGTCCAAGCCAGCAAGCCCCACAGAGACCCTGCCGTGAAGATCTGGTCTGGCAAGAATTCACTAAGATCAAAGAACCAAGACCACTGATAAGATTTGGAGGACCCAAAAAAAAAAAGAAAAACCCTCCTCAATGAAAGAGAGTAGTAAGTCTTGGAACCCGGAGGCGGGTGGATTTCAAGCAAACAGGGGAAAATAATTACTTTGATCCTTCTTAACAAAAGGAAGTGCATTTTAGATGGTGGACTCCCTCCCTCTTGAACAACGTTTCAGGCCTCCCCCTAACCCAAAGAGATAAGGTAATGCAGCTTCAAGGACTGCTTGGAACAACGCTAGGCATTCAGTAAATTCTGAGATACCCAGAGATGTACCAGCCTCCCCTTTCCCACCCAAAGAAAATGGAAAAAAATTGGTGAGGGATGCAGAAAATGGTACCACCTGAAGAGTATTCAGTCTTTTAGACCAGTGTTTCTCAACCTCAGCGACCTGAAGACGTGTGAAATTCAACTCCCAGAATTCTCCAATCGCCATGCTTTTAGATATGTGGACTTCAATTCCCAGAATTTCTCCCCCAACCAGCACTGTTGGGGGGGATGTGGGATAGTGGTGGAACACACTTCTAAT